TTTTCCTTAAATTTCTGGACTCTCTGTCCTCTCGCATTCTGTTTATTATTCGTAAACCTTATTTTACCGGGGTTTTATGGTTCATGCATTAGGATTTGAAGAAGCATCATATATCATTGTCTGATGAAGTGAAGCTCACGATTGAATCTTTTCCGGGCACTGATGTTTTGAAGTCCGTGCAGCTTCTCGGTATGCTTCTAGTAGAAAACTACAATATATACATGAAATTTTGAATACCCTCCTCTCTCTCTCTTTTTCTCTCTCTTTCTGTCTAGTTAATTTAATTATAATTTTTATAGGTTTTGGAATGTTCTTATGGTATAGGTGCTGAATATGAACTCTTGAAAAGAAAGTACCTGGAGGAGTCCTCTGAGCGAAGACGGCTTTACAATGAAGTAATTGAACTCAAGGGGAATATCAGAGTTTTCTGCAGATGCAGACCATTAAATGCGAGTGAAATTGCTAATGGGTCTGCTTCTGTTGTCAATTTTGAGTCGTCTTCAGATAATGAGCTTCAAGTCATTTGTGCAGAATCTTCTAAAAAGCAATTTAAATTCGACCATGTATTTGGGCCAGAAGATAACCAAGGTAACGAGAAGTTGCGTCTTTTGTTGGTTTTGCAATGAAGAAAGTTGTTTTTGTGAAAAATCATTGAAACTGAAAGCATTTTTTGGTATGCAGAGGCTGTTTTTCAACAGACCAAACCCATTGTTACATCAGTATTGGATGGGTACAATGTCTGCATTTTTGCCTATGGGCAAACTGGAACTGGGAAAACATTCACTATGGAAGGAACACCAGAACACAGGGGAGTTAACTACCGAACCCTGGAAGAGTTATTTCGGATAACTGATGAGAGAAATGGCACAATGAAGTATAAATTATCTGTCAGCATGCTGGAGGTTTACAATGAGAAGATAAGAGATCTGTTGGTGGAAAATTCAACTCAACCTACAAAGAAGTGAGTGCTTAGATCCCCCGAGTAATTTCCAGCTTTCCTGCATTCTCTACCCAACTAGATGCATAGAATTTTGTTGTATAAAATGTTTGTTAACTGATGAAGAAAACAAATTTCTATACTTTAGATTGGAGATAAAGCAAGCTGCCGAAGGAACCCAAGATGTCCCTGGACTTATTGAAGCTCGTGTTTATGGAACAGAAGACGTGTGGGAAATGCTTAAGACTGGAAATCGAGTCAGATCAGTTGGATCCACCTGCGCTAATGAGCTTAGTAGCCGTTCGCACTGGTATAGCTACATTCTTAGACATTGACTAATTGTTGCGCGTACTTCATATTTACTTCTAAACTTATTTGTATTTTATACCTTTGAAGACCTTAATTCTTTAAATATTATAATCATATTAAACTAAATATTTGTTTTCCTTGAATAGATCATGTTTTAAGCTGGCAGTTACTTTCTTTTTGCAGTAGATGTAATATAATTTTCTCAACGACACGATTTTTGGCAGAATTTATTAATAATTATAGACAAATGATCAAGAGGTGCTTTTACATGCAGCTTGTTGCGAGTAACTGTAATGGGGGAAAATTTAATTAATGGCCAGAGAACAAAGAGTCACCTTTGGCTAGTAGACTTAGCTGGCAGTGAGCGAGTGGGAAAAACTGAAGCTGAGGGAGAAAGACTGAAGGAATCTCAATTCATAAATAAGTCTCTTTCAGCGCTTGGTGATGTTATTTCTGCCCTTGCTTCTAAATCAGCCCACATTCCATACAGGCAAGTTTCTTTTCCTCTCTTAAATAAACTCTAACCGAAAGATCTTTTTTCTAATTATTATCTGTATCCTCTGGTTTTGACAGGAACTCAAAACTCACTCATATGCTGCAAAGCTCGTTAGGTAAGATTCCACTTCAACATTAAGAATTTATACGATCCTTTGGAAATTACTGTGAATTGATTTCATGCCTGCATTTTTTGACTGTTAATGTTTGATATGTGGCTGAAATGCAGGTGGAGACTGCAAAACGTTAATGTTTGTGCAGGTAAGTCCAAGCGCAGCAGACTTGGGAGAGACACTTTGCTCACTGAATTTCGCAACCCGCGTCCGTGGAATCGAGGGTGGCCCAGCTCGCAAGCAAGTAGACCACACTGAGCTGTTTAAGTACAAGCAAATGGTAAGTTAGCATGAAATTGTTCTAATAAACATAACCATGACTTTTCAATTCCTGAAACTCAAAAATTTTGTATAATTAAAGGTAGAAAAGCTCAAACAAGACGAGAAGGAAACAAATAAACTACAGGATAGCTTGCAAATTGCTCAACTCAGGCTTGCTACAAGAGAACAGCATTGTAGAACCCTTCAAGAAAAGGTATATTCTTCAGAAGCAAGTTACTCAGACAAGATGATGGGTGCCCTTTTTTCTATTCAAAGTGATTCATAATTTGATGTATTTCGTGACAGGTTCGGGACCTGGAGAACCAGATCAACGAAGAAAGAAAGCACAGACTAAAGCAAGAAAGTAGAGCACTTGCTGCTGTTTCGGCTCAACCTTCATTATCGTCACAACAGACAACAGCTCAGAACAGGAAGCCACCACTGAATCCTTCCAAACTCAGACAACCACTGAGAAAAATAACCAATTCCATGCCTCCACAGTCTCCTCGGAGATCAAAGAATTACACCACATTCATGAATGGAAAGGAAAACTCTGTGAGAAGGGCTTCAATGGCGACCAATTCCGTGAGGCAAGCTGCGCCATCGACAACAGGGCAGTTCTTTCAGGCAAGGAGGAGGGTATCCATTGCCGTGAGACCACCACCTTCAACATCAACAACGCAGGTTATTCAGCCAAGGAGGAGGGTCTCCATTGCCACACTACATCCTCACACAACTTCTGGCATGTCAACTCCACTTCGTACCTCAGCATTCCGAGTTACCGGTGGAAGCAATCAGCAATCACGGATAAGAAGCCAAAGGAAAGATAGGTATTCAAGTTTGTTTGCCCCAATGCCAGAGTTGAGAGAATCAGTCTTGACAACACCAATGTCAGTAAGGAGCAGCAGCAAGTTTATGATGAACAGTCCAACACAGGCAGATTCCAGGATGATGGGGCCCACTAGGAATCAGCCTGTTCTTGCTCTACAACGTAAACCTGTGGTCTGGAGTCCTCTTAAGCTAAGAACCATGAACAGAAAGTCATCACTCCTGCCGTATCGCTCAACCCAAATGCAGTAAACATTGTTTTCTCAAACAACGTGACAAAAAAATGGAGTATTTTAACTAATGCCAACGTGTATAAATTAGTATGCTGCTTTTGGTTTATGAATCAACCAAGATTCAATTAAATTTTTCTCAAAACATGTCATGCAAATACTCTTGCGTATGTTGTTCGATCAAATTTCTGATCTCAGATTTAAGTTTCAAATTCTTGCTCGTGGTGTTTGTTGTGCGATCAAATTTCTGACTGATCTCACGTCTAAGTGTCAAATTTTTTTCTTTTCTCGTTTGCTTTTTAATTAAGGTTTAATAGTCTTTTTATCCTAATTTTTATTAAAATTATTTAGTGCATTGTCTTAACCTTTTTTTTTTGTTAATGAAGTTATTCTGTTATAGTTAAGTTAAATTGATACTTAGAGGGTAAGATTTTGTCATTTATAGTGCTTAGTCATTCACGTTACAATAATTCACTTAGTGCAAACACTATCTTAGTAAAAAGAATAAAAATTACATTAAGATGAAAAGAAAATGATCGTATTGAATAATTAAAAAAATATTTGGAACAAAAAATAACTATTAAACCTTAAATTAACTAACTACCAATATCTGAAGGTATTTAATTAACTTGCCCTAATGAGTAAACTAGAATTGATCTTTATGGGAGGAATTGTTTCACATCAGAGATTTATTTAGTTATTAAAAGTGTAAAACACATTCATATACTTTCATTATGAAACAAAATTGATCCTTGTCAAATGTCAATAATCTTATAATGCTACTAATTATCTGTGAAACATTTAATTGTCCTGATGTCATAAGTGGAAGAAAATGTTTAATGCCCATAAATCATTATTTCTGATAATTATTGAACAATTTTTGTTTGGATAATATTCATATAAGTTGTTAGAGATAAGAAAGTTGGGCTATTTTTACTAAAATCTTTAATTTGTTATCACCTTAGATAATTTGACAAGAGTCATATGATATTTGTTCTAATAAAAAAACTTTTTAACTTAGGAAGTTAAATTCCCACATCTTCGTAGAAAACTATATTTGCAAAAAACATAACTAAAAATCATTTTTAAAATTGTTCTCATATAAATGTTCTTTTTAAAAGATAAACCAAACACGAAACAAAGTTTTTTCAATTTCGAATTCTCCATAAACTAAGAGAATTCTTCTACCAAATATCGTTTTATTTATCCAATCAGATTCATTTACTTTTAAAAAATTGCTATAAAAGTAATCATATTTAGTTATTCACATGTGTCAGGTGGGTATTGGAAGAAGAATTGTTAATTATATGTTAAACTTTATCACATTTAAATGCGGATCCATCAAGCAAAGTTCCAACTTCGAATTTAATTGAAATACACTTCATTTCATATTTAGATTTAAAAAAAATATTATTAATAACAATAAATTATGACATAATTAAATATTATTGTTGTATAATAATAATAATTTAAAAATAATTTGTAACAATATAAATAATTTTCTACCCACGACATATGAAATTTAAAACTCACTTTTTATGTGAATGAAAAGCTGATTCAACTCCGGAACAAAAAAAATTTAAAAAAGGTTATTTAATATTTCAATATATATTGCTTAATTTGTATCGAAAGTAAATTAACTTTTAAAGTTTGTCTAGAGTCAACTTTATAACGTTGTATTATCAAGCTATGCTATTGACTAATGGAAGCAGGCCCACGTATAAGAACCAGTGGGCCCAACCAAAATAGGGACAAAAATAGTTGCATATAGCCGTTGGCGTTGAATTAGCTTCCTTAGGATAGAGTAATAGAGATACATAGATTTAGTCGACCGTTGGAAAACAAACGTTACAGAGAGAGTTCGTGTTTGTTCAACGTCAACAACACTTAGTAGCCAACTCTGCAACCAAAAGCAAAAGGGTTTGGGACCGTGTCTTCCTATTAGAGAGAGAGAGTGAGAGAGAGAGAGATTCAGATCCAATCTTTGGTTGGGTGGGCACTAGGTACAAGTTGGAGAGATTGTTTGTCTGAGGAAAATTCTTGAGACCCACCTTGTGTGTGTTTGATTTCATTCCTCGGATATTCCGAAGATGGTTGCAAGAACCCCACCAAAGCAGAAGAGGCTTTTGGCGGCTCTCAATCCTGTTCTGATTAAAGAAACCTTAAACAAGGTACTGCATGATAATGCCAGTGATCTTCCCTGATGAAACCAGATAAATTTTGAATCTTTGTGAGTAAATTGTTGTGGGTGTTTGAAGGTGGATCAATGCGTCGCTCGGCTGCAGGAACTTCAGTACACTGTGACTGGTGGAACCAAGGTGGTGTCGGGGGTGACTCTCAGCCCTCGCAGCACAAGAGGTTATCTCAGAACAAGTCTCAGGTGCAAGCAAGAGTCACTAAGGTAAGCTTTCGATTCTATTTCAATTTCATTTCATAGCAAGACTCACTCATGATCACCACATTGCAGCTTTAAACTTTGATTTTCATTTCTATTTACGAATCAATCAGAAGTCACCTTTGGTGTGTGAACAGACTACACATATGTGATACTTTTGTGGTTGAATGACATGTATTAATATTCTTAAACATTTTGCCATTTGTTGCTGCAAATTGTAATTTTATGTATTCTTGCCGTCATGAAGGATCAAGAATGGTGCATCAAGGAGATCTCCAGTGGGAAAGTTTCCAGCAAACACAGGTTTTGTTTGTTCTCTCTGTTCAGTTGCAAAGAGAAATCTTTACTTGGTCTTGAACATGATCAAGGGAACATGGATATATAATTGGCTTTCCTTTAATTATTGTGATAATTGGAGTGAACCCTTATGCAGGTGAATGGAAGAGAATGTCGCTGCCAGCAATGCTTGTAGGCGAAACTGTTGGAGAAATTTTGCAGGCAAGTCAGTTTGCCAGGGAAATAGTCTCAGCAGTTGGTAAGAAAACTGTCCCAGATGACCCAAAAACTCCAATGTCTCAACGGAGCAACAAGAAAGTAGAACTTGAAAACACACAGCTGAGGGTGAGAAGGAAGAAAGAGAAGCAAACCAGAGTTCAGAATGATGGTACCCCACAACTTCAAAGGGCTCGCTCCAGAATCAACTTTAAGGTTTCTCCTCCAAAGGTCAAAGAATTTGATAAAGAAAGCAACAGGTATATGGCAAATAGGGTATCTCCCAGGAATAGGCCGTGGGCTAGAAAAACAGTACTTTTCCCCAACCCTTTGTTCCTTTCCACCCACTCTTCTTCACAGCCACAACAACAACAGTTTTGCAAGACAAGGTCACCCATCATTTCAAGAAATAGAGGTACAACATCACACAAATTTGTTATAAAGTCTCCACCTTCACCACCACGGCAGCAACAGTCTTGCAAGACCAAGTCCCCTGGCATATCAAGAAACAGGGGTGGGACACCTCACAAGTTTTTGATCAAGTCTCCACCGTCGGCTTCCAAATTCCCACCAACTGTGTCTATTTCACCCACAAGACCTGTAAGATTGAGCAGATTGAGTCCTCCCAAGAGATCATCATCATCATCCACTGCATCTAAATTCCGTCGATCTTTCTCTCCTTCAAGAATTGCATCCAGATTGGTTTCACTTTCACCGTTAAGGAGCAGGAAAACTGTACAGAAGAAAAACGATGGGATTGTAAGTGGACTCAAACAGCGCCCAACATCGTCTATGCAATTCCCTGTCAGAGGAATCTAAGAACTCGCCATTTTCTGGCTACTTTCTTGTACTTTTTATCACCCTGTCAATTCTTTATGTCCATAATTGTGCTCTTATGGTTTTTTCCTCTTTGGCTTTCAGAGAAGATTCAAGGATTTTTCTTTAATGTTCATACCATTTTTTCCTACTCATTTCAAGGAAAATCACAGTCCAATGCCAGCTATTCGGTGTCTTTTTACTGTTTGTTACTCCATCCCTCTGTATAAAATAATTATCAATTCATATATATATTATTCTTATAAAATATTTTTTATGTCTTTTTTTTTCAGAATTTACAGAAACTCTTAATACCCATAAATTAATCATAGTTAAATCGCGTAATTAATTAATATTTGTAGCGATGATAATGATTATCCAATTTGCGACTAGATATTTTGCAGTTCTAATAAGAAAAAGAAAAAAAAAATCTTCAACCTTTATAATTAATTAAGGATGAAGATTTAATTAGAGAGGGGGTCCTTTAAAAATGATAAAGATATTTTTCTGAAAAAATAGTTTGTGAATTTCAATAAAATAGAATTAATATAGTTTTCAAATAATAATGATTATGCATAAAAAAAAATCTTGGGTCATTCTTTGTGGACAAATGATTGTGGCAGTGAGATAAGACGTGTCCTTTTATCCCCTCTACACACATACGCCATCCTTTGTATTTCAATTTCACTCCAATGGGTTGTTGTTGCGACGAAGACGACGGTGACATTTTCCGGCAACTCATCAATTCCAATTTCTCTTCCTCATCCTCCTCCACCGCTACCACCACTGCCACCACAGTGATCTCCCCCATGAATTCCCATTTCTCGGCACTCTCCTCCACCGACATCCTCCTCCTCATCTTCCAGAACCTTCCGATCCCCGATCTCGCCCGTGCCAGCTGCGTCTGCCGTCTCTGGAACTCCGTCGCCTCCCAGAGGGAGATGCTCACAAGAGCCTTCGTTGCCCCTTGGAAATTGAACTGCGTTATCGGCGACCCGCTCTCTGGAAGCTTCTGGAGAGACAATTCCCTCGCCAAATTCGCCATCTCCCATCGCATTTCCCACGGCGACACCGTCGCTAGCCTCGCCGTCAAGTACGCTGTTCAGGTCCGTGTCACCTGTAAAGAAGGGTTTATCACTTTTCCTGATTAAGTTAAACAATATTGGGTCAAACTTTTTAGTAGTTTCCACACCACTAAATGCACCCATTCCATGCTGTTATCCTAGGTTGCTAGGTTTTCAGTTATTAACTGAATTAAGGGAATCACAGTTACTGTTTGTGACTTTTGAGGCTGTTATTTTTTCACAGTTACTTCTTGGAGCCTTTTTGGAATGCAATTTACTTAATTTAAACCATGATTCCCTTGATTTTTTAATCAACGTTTATAAAAGCATGTTAAAAGCCAAATCCTATTTTTATAGTTTTCTTAGAGACCATGTTTTCTGTGAAATAGAAAAGTATCAGTCTATCTAGTAGTAGTAGGGTAAAAGGTTTTTTACATTATCATCTAATCGCAATTTGACATATATACTTTATCTTTCTTTTAACTTTACAATAATTATACGGGTAAAAGACAAATCTTATTTTCGAAGTTTTCTTAAAGACCATTTTTGCCTTCTATGTAAAAATTATATAACATCATCGAATCAGATGTAAATTACCTTATTGAGTTTCACGTTAGTTATCTTAAAAGTGATATAACTGTAAGCTGCTAACAGCTCCAAGCAAAACAACAGCCACCCCACTTAAGCAAACTAGCCAGAGTCAAAGAAAAATACAAGAAACCATCAATCATGAATCCTGAAAGAAATATCATCCAGGCACATGACAACACGAGTATCTAACACAACCCACCACACCACACCAAACCAGATCCAGAAAACCCCCATTCTAGAACTAGGACGATTCCTTCAAACACAGCAGGATTGTACATGCCATTAATAAAAAGAAAAGAATCCTCTGTGAAACTTAGCCTTTATTTACATTGACATTGGATGATATTTTTATGTTTTGATAGGTAATGGACATAAAGCGCCTGAACAACATGATAAGCGACCATGGCATATACTCAAGGGAAAGGTTATTAATCCCTATTAGTAATCCTGATATTCTGATTAACAGAACGTGCTTTATTGAGCTGGATGTCTATGCAAAACGAGAAGTAGCAGTGCTGTATCCTAATGATGTGCCAGACACGAGGACTGCCTACGTGTCAAACAGAATTTCCTCAGAAGAAAGCAACAAAAAGGTGGTTGATTTCTTGAAGAGAAGCATGCATGTTGATAATGAAACAGCTCAATATTACTGGTCTGTTTCAAATGGTGATCCACGAGCGGCATTTGCCGAGTTTTCTGCAGACCTTAACTGGGATAGGCAAGCAGGGCATTCATAGTCTTTCTTAAGGTTACCTTGTTATTTAAGAGGTTGGTGGCAAGTTGAAAACAAATTATTTAAGAGGCTGCTTGGCAAGCAAATAGATAAATAATTAAGAGACTGTGTTGCAGGCAAGTATATGCTCCAGTAGGTTGCCTCTTAAAAAAATTGTTCATTCTCCTCTGATTGAATACTGCTTGAGTTCTAAACAGATTGTCATATTTGCTTATGAAACTACAGTCATATACTGTTGCAGTGTGTAAAAGATTTCAGCCACTCATGTGGTGAAGTGTGTTCAGAATATGTGTAAATTTTATTATTACTCTTTTAAAAAAGAAATTGATGCATTATTTTAGTCTGGTCATTATATGCTTGGCGCGGAAAGGTTTGATTTTATTCACATTTGTAAGAATTCATATTTACCACTCCAGATCAGAATTTATGCCAAGAATACGCTGTTCGAACAAAAAGTGGATACGAGGATGGCCCGTTTTCCCTTTTCCTTCCAGTATTTTGTTGTGAAATATTATAGTTTTGCAGGGAGAGATTGAGCAAATTTTGAGCATTTCAGAAGCTAAATTAATACTATCCAATAACTTAATAGATAAGGGTGTGTGAGGAATCAGAATCTATTTGTGAAACGAAAGTTTGATATTCTATTCTCATCCTGTCTTTTTGTAACAGTTAATGTCTTTATGAATTACTGCCTTTTCTAAGCCTTGTGCTGTCAGTTGCTAGAACCTTTGAATGGAGAATGTTGAATCGGTGGTACTGTTAACTTGTACCCTCCAATAGCAAAATGATGATTTGATTGATTTCAAGTCAGCCACCTAGTACGGCTGGAACCACGGAATGTCCATGAGATGAACATTG